CTACTTTAGCTATCTTCGAAAAATTTTAAATCGCAAACCGTCCTTATCAAGCTTCGTGAAGTGTCCGAGATTTAACTGTTAAGAAAAATACCACGTTAGCAGTGTCTAGTGATGGAAGTTATTTATGAATGATGAAATGCTCGAAAATCCAATGTATCGAAATCTTCTCTCCTGCAAGCTTTCGTGAGCTAAGACTTTTGAGATAAAAATCAAAATCAAATGCAGTATTTTGGTGTTGGGCATATAGCTACTACTGCCTTACTTCTCATTCAAATGCATGATGCAAATTCCAGGAAAAAGTGATAATTGTTGCCTGCAGGGTCAGCAGCAAATGTGCGGGAAAGATGGAGATTCGAATGAGAATGTGGCAATACTCCCCTCCGATCCACCTCCCTTCTCACTTGTCCTTCGTCTTCTTTTGATAATGCTTCTATCCTATCACTAATTTGCTAACCCTGGTCCCCACTAAGGAAAAGCTTCCATTGTCCACCCGTGTAGCTGCATAAATTTCATATCAGAAATGCTACGGCCAACAATCCACTGCATGCGCCTACACGCACTTGGTGGTGCACATACAGAGCATGCACATTCTTCTGCACAAGAAGTATGAAATTAAGATGGTTAGCAAACAATGCGAAGTGTGTGAAGCGCACAATAGATCCCTAGAACAACAAAGTGGTAGTCGCTATGACATCTGTTTGCAACCTGCTAGTGAATGTGACATACGGGATGTGGTGTGTGGCGTGTAAGATCCATCCGTTTAAATTCTGTCACCACACCTCTCTCCGCTCTAAGTAGATGCTAATAACCATTTTAACCATTTAAACCCAATTAAACGTGACAGAATGCTCCGCATTCGTGACATTTCTTCGTCAACTTATGTATTGCTATCAAGAGTAGGTGTTTAAATAAGCAGACTTCGCCGTACCAATATTGTGCCTATTTCTACGCTCTGGAAAACAGTAAAGGAGGACCAAGGAAAAAAGATACGGAACATTATATGTCCCAATCCTTGGAGAATGCAAATTTTGCCAATGATATCCGATAGCCCAAGGATGGGGAGATAAATTCCACATCGAACAACAAAACATCACTTCTAACCAAAGTCTAGGAAATAAAGGAAGAAAAAGGTGAATCGAGGGACCAAAAAGACATATTTAGGTATTCGCCTCAAGTACTACTTCTTTGTATCATTATGAATGCCTAGGTTGAAAAGACTAACCATTCCAGGTGGTGGGAGAAGCCAAAATATAAGTGCGAGGCACACGCCCAAACAGGCACCAGCTAGGACCTCCAATGGACCTGAAATGGCAACAATTGCAATATCGCCCTTAGCGAAAGCTATGGCCTGTGATATGCCGAAGCCGGTGATTGCAAGAACGTCGTCCAGGCTGGAGGCGGCCATAACAAGAGTGGGGATTCCCGCCGCCACACCCCATCCAGCGACCTCCAAACGAAGCATATTTGGCACTACTACAGCTGGTGAAACAGCGGCCAAAGTAAAGCTGTTTGGCAGAAAGGAGAAATAAAATACAGCCATTAGTCCAAGGATATAACAGCATACTTATTGGCTCTTTTCGCACTTTGTGGATTGCATTTTGAGACTTGCAACCAGATCATTTCTCTTGCGGCAATAACTGTAAAACGTAGAATCAGGAAGTGATGGCAAGTGAATTTCTGTAAACTAGAAACTGTCATATTTTCAAAAATAGATGGAATTGCCTTGTTTATTTTAAGCTCTGTAGCAAGAGAGCAGAGCTGAAAGTGTGCTAAATTGAATATTTCGAAATTTGGCTTTACCTCTCCTGTGTTGAATGCCCATGGCTTTGCCCCATTTTAAGCACAAAAGTCGCGGGTGACCGTAACACCACTAATTTGCTCTGTT